CCCTCGAGCCCTCTCTCGTTACTCCCTTCCCGCCATCGTCGATGGCGTCCGGCGCCGGCGGCCCCTGGCCTTCACCTCTCGGCGATGTGCCGCCGTGGGGCAGAGCGGAGCCGTGGGGTGCACCTAGACAGCGACGGTCCGATACGACGGCGGGATGGCCTGTCGTGGTCCCGGGTGATCTGCTGGGCGGCGGCACCGGTGTTGGTGGCGGGGTGGCGCGATCTGGCGGTGCCCGCTCGGCCCAAATCCAGGCCCTTGGGGGCCCAACTGGGTCTGGGCAGGATGGTGGTGGGGCGTGTCGATGGCGTGGCTTTCAGGAAGCGGAGGAGCAGTGTTGGGCTGGTGGGTGGTGACAGCGCTGGCGTTGGCCTGCTGCAGCATGGCGGCCGGGCTTTGCGGGCCCGATTTGGGCCTGGGTTGGCCCGGGTGGCCTGGTATGCCCCTACTGCCACATCCGGACGGTGACCGTGACGGTGCTGGAGGCACAGGTCTCCCGCACGATGGCGGTGGAGGTGGTTCCCTCCCGCACGGTTCCGGTGCTGCCGCTCCCAATTCCTGGCGCTCCTCTCTCCGTCCTAGGGCTCGTGATGGTGATCTAAGTGAGGCAGCGAGGGTGGCATCAAGACCACGTTGGCGCATGCTGGTGGGCGGCAAGTTGGTTGGTTGGCTCCGGATCGGTTGGGCAATGGAGTTTAGGGTGCGGAAGAATTCCCTGCCGGTTCATCCGGCACCGACGCGGTGACGCTGCGGGTGCCACCATTCCTTCTTGAAGGGTGTCGGTGGTGTCCATCCCCCACTTCCCTCTGTGTGTCGGAGGAAACCCTAGGGCACGTCCGGGCAGCAGCGTCGGCGTCACATTCCTTCTTGGAGGTGTTGCTTGGTACGCGGCGGTTAGGACCCTTGGACCGTGGTGGGACGAATCCGAAGGGCGCAGCGGTGGCGGGTCATCCGCGCTTTATCGAGCTGTCGTTGTTGGCATTTGTTTCTTCTTTCTTTTCCTTTTTTTTGGCTTGATGTGCTGCTGGCCCCAGCAGTTGCTATGTGATCGGTGTTGGTTGCTTTATAATATAAAGCAGGGGGGGCTATTTCTTCAATGTTTTTACTCCTCGGCAACCCTCCAATGAAATCCTTACTAACCAGATTCTAGTCCTCTTTGGGTATGGGAAGTGGACTCAATAACCCTGGTTTCTTGGTGTGCTCAGACTTGGCTTGTTTGCATACGGTACAGTTCTGAACATAGGCTTGTATGTCCTGTTTCATTGCAAGCCAAGCAAACAACCCTTTAATGTGCTGATAAGTGGCTTGGAAACCTGAATATGCACCAATACCACTAGTATGTAAAGAGAGCATAATTGCCTGATGTGCTTCATTGTTATGATTCAGCCAAATTCTATGTTTGTACCTGATGACCCCATTGACAAGAGAGAGTAGCCTTTGACATTTATTCCTGCAAGTGCCAATTTCTGCAACAATTTTTTGTCTACAGGGTACTGTTGATAGCCTTCAGTTACCACAAATAGCCACTTGGGTGTTCAAAAGGAAATGGCAGCCAACTCCATAGGTGTAGGGGGCCTTAACAGAGCATCAAATGCAGCACTATCCAAACCTTTTCTATAGACAATGTTATATTGGAGCCCCAAGAGTTTGAGAAATGCCTTATGTTGCATAGAAGAAAAGCTACTTAACTGCTGATCTTGCAAATGTATCGAGCTTTTGTGATTAGTAGAAATGGTGAAAGGTGCATGCTGTAAGTATGACTTCCATGTATCTACCTTTTCATGTGTGGATAGGGCCTGAGACTTAGGGCCAGAGCTTTGCCGAGGTAAGAGAGAGGGTGACCCTCGTGCATAAGCGTAACTCCAATCTCTTTGTTGCTAGTATTTGTTTCTACAACAAAATGTTTCTTGAAGTTTGGTAGAGCTAGTATTGGAGCTGCAACAAGTGCTTCTTTGAGATGCTGAAAGGCAATTTTAGTAGTAGGTGATGGACTTTCACCTAGTTCGGCATCGGTGAACTTTTCTCTTTTGAGACATATGACTGTTAATTTCTACTGCTATTTATTAGTAGTTAGGATGAACTACCATTTATGTATTAGTTAGGACTGAAATGATGTTTTGATCGTGTGCAGTAAGGTCATCACTGGTGAGAAGAGGTGATCACAAGCTACGCCATGCCCAACCCATGTCACCAAACAAGCATGCGTTTTTGGCATACATTTACTCAGTTAGGTCCAACTGAGTCACAGATAAAAAGACCAAAAAAAGGATGCAACCTACCAAGCATGCCCTTGATGCATCGCTCGCATGCGAAGAGTTTCTGGACAGCTCGCCATCGGTTTAAACTAAAAATCCTAACGTGGAAATAAAAGATATTCTGATGGCCGATCTGTGTACGATTATCTCCATAATGTACTCGATTTGGATGTCCAGAAACCGTTGGATCGCATGATGGTGAGGTGTTCGATCCTCTGTAACCAGTGAAATGGGCAGAGAAAACCTCGTCTTTGCTTAAACTGCAGTGCTGGGCAATGTTGGCAAACACCTGAACCGGTATGGGTGAAGATAAACAATAATGTTGCCGCGGATCAATGTTCTTTAACTCGCTTGCACGCTTGATTTGTGTGAGAGCTGGATCTAGAAGCGTCATAAGTTTCTGGCGACAACAAAAACATGATGGGAGAAAACACATCTTTGAAATCTCATGGGGCGAAAACAACAATACCAAACAATCCATTTGCTACAAAGATTGGAATAGTATAGATACTCAGAGGTTTCAAATCTCAACGACACTCTCAGGCTACTAACGTAAGCAATAACCACCATTATCCAGCAAAACAGACCATGCATGACTGGGCGGCACACTAGTATTTGATTGGTGCCAGGATATCCAACTGAGAACCCAGCTTCTCCTCGGCAGCCTTCTCAGCCTTGAAGCGCAGCTTGGCCAGTTGCTTCCTCCTGTCATACGACACCTTTGCCTTCTCCTTCCTCTTCTCCTCCAGTTCCTGCCAGTTTAAACAAAAGAGGTGATGAGCCATTTTCCAAATAACATCTAGTTGCAGCAGGTATGCCTATGTTTTCAAGGCATGCGCTCAAATAAAGAATTAAAAACAGTCCCCAATCAAGAACCTAACATGGCGCTGGAGATCTTGCTGGTCAATGGCCATTAACTATTGAAATGCTCAACAAGAGCAGCGCACATTTATCTAACATCATTACGATATGTGCAATCTGATTTTGATTTTTTTTTCTAAAACGATCTAGCTAACAAAATAAAAAACAATAAGAAAACAAGCCATGGCTGTCATAGGAGGCCTCAGAGATCTTGGTGGTTACGATCATCAACTGGGGAGCACCCATCAAGAGTAGCAAATATAGATCTCACATCATATGCTTACAACTAAAGCACAGGAGAATCAAACAAAAGAACAGGGTAAAAGCCAAGTCAAATGTACATGAGGAACAGGTATTATGAGACCCAATCCCAGTTTTATGATTTGCTGTCTTACTTAAATAATTGAAGCAAACTATAACAGATTTAAACAATAATAAGAAAACAATCCCTGGTTGTTAAAAGAGGCCTCAGAGATCTTGGTGATTATGGTCATCAACTGGGAGCATCCATCAAGAGTAGCAAATATTAATCTCACATCATAGGATTATAACTCAAGCACAGGAGAATCAAACAAAAGAACAAGCTAAACACCACATCCAAATGTTAAATGAGAATCAAATAATTGAAACAAATTAGCAAACAAATTTTAAATAACAATAAGAATCCCTGGAAGTTAAAAGAGGCCTCAGAGATCTTGGTGATTATGGTCATCAACTGGGGAACACCCATCAAGAGTAGCAAACATTAATCTCACATCACAGGCTTATAACTGAAGCACAGGAGAATCAAATAAAAGAACAGGCTAAAAGCCACAGCCAAATGTTGAATGAGAAACAGGTGCCGAAGTCCCAATCGCAGTTTTATGATTTGATATCTGAGTTCAAATAATTGAGACGAACTAGACAACAAATTTTAAATAACAATAAGAATTGCTGGTTGTTAGATACGCCTCAGAGATCTTGGTGGTTATGGTCGTCAACTAAACACAAGAGAAACCAACAAAAGAACATGATGATAACCACAGCCAGATGTTACTACATGAGAATCTTACAATGGAGTGTGGCAACAAATGCCATGATCAATCAGAAATCATCATTGACAAAATTAATCAAAATCGGTCTAAAAGATAAAAATATCATCAGGCACGAGGGAACAGGCGAATTAAAATAGCTTTTGCTGTCAAAAAATTAGCATGAATAGTCAGAAGTAGCTGGTTGTAAGCATCATCTTTGTGAAAAATCAATGGACATCAGTCCTGAGTTTCTGCATCATCCCAGTCATGCTAAATTTGCACTTACAATGTAAAAAATCAACAAATTCAAATGGCACAAAAAAGTTCTCAATGCAATTAACAAGGAAGGAACTGATGGAAGCTACTAAGCTAAGCACAAAAGGAAACTTGACAGTGCCTTTTGTTAAAATCAGTAAAATAGGCTTACACAATTCAGCATTTCACTCTATCACTATCCAAAACCTTATTTCATGTCGACCCATAACCTAACCTGTGTTTCAGCTCGACAGCAATTAATTTTGACTTAGCCACACAGTGAGAAGCTATCATCTAAAATTCTCAATAAAAATCTGGTTGATATCTACAAACTAAACCCACAGGACAACTACATCTAACATTGTGAGCCAAAGAATCATATGTATGCATCACATCATCATCATTTTTGTTCAGAGGTGACAACCAGAGTGATCGATGTAACAAAACGTACCTTGATAGTTTCATGGTAGTTCCATCCGACCTCCTTGGAAAGCTCGCCGAGCAGACAGAACCTGTGCCCCGGCTGCAGCCTCAGAACCCTATCCAACAACAAGTCACACAAAGATCATCACCACATAACTAACTAAATCCGCCATTAGAGTGCAAGCAAGAAATATAAGGCGCGTACTTTAGCGCGTCGGGAATGACCATACGCTTGGTGCGATCGTAAGGCGGCGGGACGCCCTCGAAAGCCTTGAGCCTGGCGAGTGCGGCCTCGCCGCGGGGCGTCTTGTGCGGGATCATGCCGCGCACGGTGCGCCAGAAAATGCGCGAGGGAGCGCGGAAGTGGATGGGGCCGTGCGAGGGCTTGGTGTTCATCCGCTTGCGGAGGAAGCGGAGGTACTTCATCTTCTGACGGACCAGCCCGCCGGAGATGCACATCTCCTCGCACCGGACCACCACCACGCGCTGCCCGTTGAGCAGCTCCTTGGCCACGATCGACGCAAGGCGACCCAGCATGTGGTGGCGCGCATCCACCACCACGCGACGCGCGGACACACCGGAGCCAGACACCATCGTTACCTGTTGTTGGCTTCTCCCTTCCTCTCTTCCTCCGGCTCCGGTGGTGGTCGTGGGTGGCGGCGGCGAAGGAGGGAGCAGCAAGACGTTAGGGTTTATGATTTTATAGGCGACCAGGAGGTAGCAGATTGGGCCAGGCGGTTGCTAGTGCTCTCAAAAGAACAATAGGCCTCGTTACCTAATAAACTCTTAATGGGCTGTACTCCACAAAAAGTCCTAATAGGCTTACACTATGTCAGAAAGCGGGTCAGTCCCGTGCGCATGTTGTGAACAAATTTTTGAAACTTTGAACATTTTTTTGAATCGGCAAACATTTTTGGAATTGAGTAACATTTTCTTGAAATTCAGGAATAATTTTATTGTTTTGATGAAAAAATGTATTGAATGCATGAACTTTTTTTGAATCCATGATTATTTTTAAAATTTTGCAAACAGTTTTTGAAATTCGCAAACATTTTTTAATTTTTTTGAACATTTTTAGTTAATGAACATTATATGAAATCCCAAACTTTTTTCCAAATTTGCGAGCATTTTTTGAAAATCATGAACATTTTATGATTTCCGAACATCTTTCAAAATCATAAATAATTTTTGTATTCATGAATATTTTATGATTTCTCGGAAAAAATTCAAAATTCACAAAAAAAAATGGAAGTTTTTGGAAACCTTGAATTCTTAAAGAAGTAAACAAAAACATAAAATAAAAAAACAAGAAGCAAAGAAATAAAATAGAAAAGCAAAAAAAACAGGAGGCATCCCGTTGCGCATATGGGCCGGCCCAGAAGGGCGCACGGGGTGATGTCTATTACATAACCTTATCTTGTAGACTCTGTTGGACCACCAAGCACAAAGTTTTGTAGTACAGCGGCAAATTTCCATGGTTTAAGGTTTATCAATCCACAAGAGATGCATGGGGAAGATGGTTT